TCTTCCTAAATTAAGTTCATGTCACTTCTAAGTGATTCTACCATTAGTACAAGAAGCTGCATAGTATTTATCTCATTCGATTTAGAAATATGTGTGCATATAACTCGAAAGGAAATTCAAAGTGTTAAAGAAGCATAGATGCAGTTTCACAGCTCCTTTGAATGACCAAGATCCCATAGTCCATGTATCTTTCTGCTTGCCTTCTGCTGTTACAGCTTTTTATAGATGCAAAAACTGGTCCAAAATGATCCAGAAGTGACCTTGCTATTGTTGAAGGAAATTGCTCCAACAAAGCCATTTTGTTTTGATTCAGTTTTTTAGTCCTTTAAATGGCAGTCATATTGAAGGGGTTTATTTTCTTTCCACTCTCTTCCTGCATATTTTAGAATTTAAGAAGGAGGACACAAAGCTTGTTTCCATTACAGCTCCTCCACAACGTGCTAACAATGTAAACCTTCTCTAGTAGAAATCATAAGAGCAGATTCACATTTTGTTTTTAAACATGTGCTGAATAGAACATCTTTATGCAGTATGGTTCCCTAAGCTTGTTCATCAATATTATGTTGCATCCCTCTGAATCTTGTTCTATTCTCTATCCTCCCCTCCCCTCAGTTTAATTTATTGCCAGAACATTTCACCCTCCCACATATTCTTCCTTCCAGGTCAGTGATGCATGGCATAAAGTGAACAAATGTGTATAGTCTTAGCACTCTTTGTATGACACCCTGCTTTGCCACCTTCCCACTTTTCAAGCTGTCGCTACTCATGACTATATCCTTTCCCACCACTCTGTGAGCTGGTAATTTTGAGTCCCATTGAATTTCAGATGGGATTATGTTCCTAAATCTCATAAGCTCCACTTCTAACATTATCTTGCTCCTTTTTAAATAATTATTTTTGGTAGTTCAGTCGTCCTTGCTTTTGGCCATATATTTTGGTTTTTGGTATAGTATTGCATCTTGATTTGGTTTCACAAGCATGTTTTTATCTAGAGGAAACCATTCACCTACTGCTTTTCTTAATTCCTTGGAATTTCTCTGACATTCTTCTTACAAATCTTCTCTTTGTGTGAACGTGTTCACACTAAATTAAAAAGCATTCCAGATATTTTCCTTTTGGTCTCTTTAGGACTCTCTTTTTTCTGCCCCTCCCCCCCCCCCCCCCAAAGAGCTTTCAAGAGCTATTTGTGATTTGTGCGTTCTCTCTGTGTTTGCTCTAAACTCAGGTGCCAAATACCCCCCCTTTCCTAGTTTACGTTGTCATGCAGATGCTGAACTCTCTGACTCTGTGGCTGATGTTCCAGCATGGATTTACTAGGAAAGTGTGATGCCTTCAGATTTATGTTTCTCCCTTCTTCTGGTCATTGAGCTACTCATTCATTACTACTTTGCAGATAAAATAAACTTTGCAGACTCACTTTACAGTATCCTGAACTATGGCTTCTCTTGAACAATATTTCTTCCTGAATCCCTAGCCCTGATTGTGCAGGTGTGTAAGTGCTTGTATTAGACGCATGTGAACAGTAATTTCTACTGCTTGCCATTCAAATAGTCATTTCCCTTTTGGGTAAGAGAACTCTTTGGGAAGATTTGCAGCATCCCTGTTGTTCTTCCATATTTGGTTGTGTCAGTAACTGCAAATTTTTGCCTCTTGGCATGACTGCAGGTGCCTTTCCCCCTCCCTTTTTTTTTTTTTTTCTTTAAAAGCCACTGAGGCTAAATGTTCAGTTTGCTCCTCCTTATATTGAATACATGAACGCCCCTTATTTTCTTTGCCTTCAAGCTGTTTCAACAAAAAGAATGTAACTTTTTATCATGTACTCGGCCCTTTGTAGTGTTTCATTTTTCTTCATTTTCTTCTCTTGCATGTTTTCTCTTTGACTTCATGTTTTACATTATTTAACATAATTTTTCTAAGTCTTCTCTTTGCTTATTTTAATGTCTTTCTTCTGCTTTCTGACTTTGATGTAGACTTCTAAGACCATTTTACTTTTTTCAGACATGGGTGGCTGGACTGTCTTCCTGCTCTGGGCCAAGATTGTTAATGCTTTCCTGGAGCACTCCCAACCTTTTATGTTTGGGGTGCAGGAAAAAGACTGAGGTGGAACTTGCATTGGGTGCAGCCATGACTCAGTTGTTAGGCACTTCTGAGGGAAAAGCTCTATTCTCTTGCTCCTTCCTTCTCCACTCTTGCGTCCAGGCACCCTGTTTTTGCAGTAGCACCATCAAAAGGTCTCCAGCAGTTTGAGCCACCCTTGCTCAAGGCCTACATAAATTCTACGACTTTGTAACACTTGGTTCACATCTCCAGTCAGCCCAGTGCCAAGGGATGTGCTGAGCTGCTTGGGACATCAGTCTGCTCTTTCAGCAGGAGTAGTGGAGGTACCTCTGTAGAAGTGCTCTGTCAACTTAAGGTAATAGTGTTCCTTACAAATCACCATTATGTTGCTCCTTGGCCATGGTTTTCTGCTGTGCCTCCCTTTAATTAAAAAAAAAAAAAACAACAAAAAAAAAAACAATCCAAGCTCCATGATCCATTTCTTGTTTGCTCACCATCCTTTTTGTGCTGTGTGCTAAAAGTCGTGATCAGAAGCAAAGGAAAGTCAGTTGGTATCTTTCTGCTGCCTCCACTGGTTTGGGAGTGGGCACGAAAAAGTGTGGTTCAGTGCTCATTGAGGTCAGTGGAAAACCTCCCATGCCTTCAGTCAGCTTTGGACTCTGTCCGAAGTGTTTATGGTGGGCATGGGTTGCACCTGTGTGCTAGGATAGCTGTCTGGCAAGCTCATTCTCAGAAACCAACAGAAGCCCTATACACATGTTAATCCTGGATGTTTTTCTTCAGGAAGTGCTAAATCTTGCACTCCAGAAAGACTGCAAAATAATGAAAGCCTTGGGCAAGGCAAGGGAGGAAGAAAGAATACATAGGCAGAGCTAGGGACATGTATGCTACCATTGTATTAGTGCGAGACTCTCCACATAAGCTCTTTGGATGGTATCTTTTCTGTAAGTATCAAAACTATCTTAATTGTAAAAGAGCAACATACTAAAAATTGTAAGGTGGCCAGCACAAAAGGACGGGTTGGAAGAAAGTAAGAATTCAAACATTAAAGGTAAAATCTGATTTTGGCTGTTCCTGATGACAAGGAAAACTTCCTCGTGCGTGGTTTTTTTTTTTTTTTCCCTGTGGGAAGAGGCTATCTAGTTCTGCAGTTTTTAAATACCAGATTCCACAGAAGTATGTAAATACGCAATTCAGAGTTTGAAAGCTGGAATAATAGACACCAGATGATAGGGAAAATAAAAACATGTGAAACATAATGGGCCTTCCAAGCAACAACAAAACCTCTTCATTCTGAAAATAATCCTTTTTAACCCTGTAACATTCTTAGCAATGGACATCCGTGAGGTTTTGGCTGAGAATCTTGATGTGAAGGAAATTTTTGATCCTTTCTTTCTGAAGAGGTATCACAACCTCTGAAGAGGTTACAAAGTAGGGTGTAATCTGTGCCTTACAAATAATTTGACTGGAGCTTATGGAGGAAGAACTGTCTCCAGTGCTGTCAGCTTCTTTAGGATGTCACATCCTGGTTGGGAAATATGTGCCAGACTATGCTGGGCTTTTAGAAGCACTGCGCCAGGTAGCCCAGACACTGGGCTGCAGGTTTGCAAGTGAGCAGATCTCCTCTGAATCATGCATCATTTTGGGCCTCGAGGTCCTGATCTGAAAGCAGGAAGAGTGTATGGGCGCTGCCCTTGAGGGAGAGCAGACATGTGCTGAGTTCTGCTGGTCCTCAGGCTTACCCTGTGCCTTTGCGGAGGGTGTGGGAGCTTGTTATAGGGAGAAAGCAAGCCTTGAGAAATGCATGGGTGGGACTCACTGTGAGTCCACTCTTCTCCGCTCTTCTCCCTCTGCCTTATCTGAAAAGAAGACAAAACGCTCTTTTCTTAAGTTGTACTGAAATTCATCTGTGCTTTATTCATCTGCTTTCATTTGTGCCATTCATGGGCAGCTGTGTGTTATATAGGACAAAGCAGATGAATTCCTAATCTCCATATTCAAAACCATGCAATGGAAAGGGTTCAAGGCCCCTTCCCCTCCCTTGTTTTTCAGTCCAATTGAAGTACTCTAGTTTTCACTTTCAGTGCTGAGGCATCATCTCTAGACTGTGTTTCTCCACATGCTAGTAAAATGGTGTGGCAGACTTTTACTGGGTTGTGTAAGGAAAGATTATATATAGATAGATGTATTTATAAGAAGAGGTCTTTTTTTTAGTGTAGCAAAACTTAATACTTCTAAGGAGATGTGGCTTAGAAATTTGCTTTACGGGAATTTATAAGTATCTTTTTTAATGACTTGATTTTAAAAGTCATCCACTAGAAGAACTTGAATTCACCTTTTGTGAAAACTCCTTCAAATATGACAAAAAAAAATTGCATCGTTTTCTTAGACTTGACTTTTGTTGAACGCTTCTTGAATAACTTCATGAATTTCTGAGCAGGGTAGTATATTCATTCCTTTTTTCTTGCTTTTTTGTTCTCTTTTAAATAGGCTGCTCAGAGGTATCCTTTGCCATATCTTTATCTGGTGTAAATTGGCGTAAGACATTTGAAGGAATCTGATTTGATTTATGTGCCCAGTGTTGTTCAGGAGCACTTATCAGTATGATTAGTACACTTTACCCACACAAATTGAAAGTACCTTGAAACCAGACTTCTTTTTAGACAACTTTTGACTTAAATCTGTCACTACTTCTTCTGACTCCAAATCAGATCTAAAAAGCATAATTTCAGCTGATCAGCTTTTAAATTGTAGAATGCACATTAGATTAGATAAAGAAATGCTACACTTCTTTTTCTTTATGCCTTCAGAAAGTTGTCTATGGACTTTTTTTAACTGAACATCAAACCTGTGTAAACATTGATAGGTGCTGGAGCAGGCCTTGAACCTTTTTAGATTTGTAGATCTACCTGAAATAACAACCTCTTTCTGTTTCTCTACAGACTCTTCATACTCAGAGCCTCCTGATGTTCAGCAGCAGTTGAACCACTACCAGTCTGCAGCTTTGGCCAGGAACAACAATAATATCAGCCCAGTCCCACTTTCTGGGAGTGCTGCAGGAGTGGAAAAAACAGAAGCCATCCTTAACTGTGAATTTTGTGAATTCTCCTCGGGTTACATACAGAGCATTCGGCGTCATTACCGTGACAAGCATGGAGGGAAGAAGCTCTTCAAGTGCAAAGATTGTTCCTTTTATACAGGCTTTAAGTAAGTACTGTGCAAAACAGATAAACTGAACTCATAAGGTTTTTTTTTTTTTTTAGCACTTGAAAAGACTTCTGAGATCTTTGAAAGCTGGCTGTAGCTAAGAGAAACATGGCCACTGCTGACCAGAGAGAGAAACATAGGAAATGCCATCCCAGATCACAGCAGCATCCATGTAATCCATTTTCCTCTCTCCTACAACAGCCGGTACCATCTGCTGCAGACAAAAGCACAAGAAACCCTTGCAGTAGGTTGTACTTTTTGAAGGAGAGGGTACAGGTAGTGCTCTGTTCCTCAGTATAAGTAATTAGAGGATCATCCTTATCCTCAAATGTCAGAAATTTTCTCTCCAAAAGCAAGGTTATTTCTTGGTACAGCCAGCATGAAGCATAGGACAATCAAATGTTAGGGAGACAGGAGAGTTTATATTCCCTCTCTGAAGAAACCTCTCATATAATTGTATTTACCCCACGGCTTATCTAGCTGAAATGCAAAGCATTCTCCAAAGTATCTGATAGCATATAGAAACATTTCAGCAAATCCAATTAGATGTTGCAGAATTTAAAATCTCAGCTCGGTAATGAGTGTGTCTCTGTGTGTGTGTGCTGTTTTGTTTGTGTATTTGTTTTTTATTGTTGGTGGTTTGTTTTTCATTTCTAAAGCACATATAACCTCTGTGGCAGCGATAAAAAGGAAGCACTTTACTCTTTTGAAAACAGATGAAGTCGTCCACACACTGTGTGCTGTATAGGCCTATTTGCCTTTTGTTTCTCTTTACTAGTTGGTTGGAATGGATGGTATTAATTTCCAACAAATATGTGAGTTAGAGAATTCCTACATATCCAGCCTCAGGGAATCATACTTTGGAAAATGAAGTACTTATCAAAGCAGGAGATGGCTGGTACAGTTTCTATCTTGATTTCTTTTTTTTTTTTTTCATCATCTTTTTTTTCCCCCAAAAGCTTAAGAATTGCTTTTTGACATCTTTTCAGGAAAGTTACACTGAAATTCATCTGCGCTTTATCTGCTTTCATTGGTGCCATTCATGGGCAGCTTTGGATTATATAGGACAAAGTAGATGAATTCCTAACTTCCACATTCAAACCAATGTATTGGGAAAGTTTCATGGACACCCTCCCCTCCCCTTTTTTTTAACAAAGTATTTTAGTTTTCACTTTGTATGCTGAAACTTCTCTAGACTGTGTTTTTTTAAATGCCAATGAAATGGTGTGACAAACATCTGTTGGGTTGTATAAGGGGTGTGTATCTATGTATATATAAAGCAGGTCTTTTTCTGTGAAATTCAGAAGACGGAAATATTGTGTCCATTTCCTTTTTCTTTCTGTCTTTAATAGGTTATGCTCATATATCCTGTGCCAGATCTTCATCTGGTGTAAATTGGTGCAAGACAGCTGAGAAGATCTGGTTTGATTTATGCATCAAACATTCAGCAAGAGCACTCAGCAGCATGATTAATCTGCTTTACCATCACAAATTAAAAGTAGTATAAAAAGGAGTCTGGTTTCAAGACACTTAAACTTGTCACCCCCTTTTCCCTCCGCAAATCAGATTTAAAAAGCCTAATTTCAACCTTTTACATTGTAGAATACAAATTAGGTTAGATGAAGAAATATGCTACACTTCTTTTTCTTTATGCCTTCAGAAAGTTGTCTATGGACTTTTTTTAACTGAACATCAAACCTGTGTAAACATTGATAGGTGCTGGAGCAGGCCTTGAACCTTTTTAGATTTGTAGATCTACCTGAAATAACAACCTCTTTCTGTTTCTCTACAGACTCTTCATACTCAGAGCCTCCTGATGTTCAGCAGCAGTTGAACCACTACCAGTCTGCAGCTTTGGCCAGGAACAACAATAATATCAGCCCAGTCCCACTTTCTGGGAGTGCTGCAGGAGTGGAAAAAACAGAAGCCATCCTTAACTGTGAATTTTGTGAATTCTCCTCGGGTTACATACAAAGCATTCGGCGTCATTACCGTGACAAGCATGGAGGGAAGAAGCTCTTCAAGTGCAAAGATTGTTCCTTTTATACAGGCTTTAAGTAAGTACTGTGCAAAACAGATAAACTGAACTCATAAGGTTTTTTTTTTTTTTTAGCACTTGAAAAGACTTCTGAGATCTTTGAAAGCTGGCTGTAGCTAAGAGAAACATGGCCACTGCTGACCAGAGAGAGAAACATAGGAAATGCCATCCCAGATCACAGCAGCATCCATGTAATCCATTTTCCTCTCTCCTACAACAGCCGGTACCATCTGCTGCAGACAAAAGCACAAGAAACCCTTGCAGTAGGTTGTACTTTTTGAAGGAGAGGGTACAGGTAGTGCTCTGTTCCTCAGTATAAGTAATTAGAGGATCATCCTTATCCTCAAATGTCAGAAATTTTCTCTCCAAAAGCAAGGTTATTTCTTGGTACAGCCAGCATGAAGCATAGGACAATCAAATGTTAGGGAGACAGGAGAGTTTATATTCCCTCTCTGAAGAAACCTCTCATATAATTGTATTTACCCCACTGCTTATCTAGCTGAAATGCAAAGCATTCTCCAAAGTATCTGATAGCATATAGAAACATTTCAGCAAATCCAATTAGATGTTGCAGAATTTAAAATCTCAGCTCGGTAATGAGTGTGTCTCTGTGTGTGTGTGCACATTTTTAGCTGCTCTTCCATAAGGAAAAAATGCTCATGCGCATGCATTATTGTTCATTTCCTTCTGATATGCTGGACCCTAGCTAACTTTTGAGGTCTCAAAGTTGTTGAAGTCTTAAGATATTTGTGAAAATAAGCAGTATAGTTGGATGAAAAAGAGATGCTCTGCTGAAGAAAATGTTGCACACAAACCTGTTACACATGAGAGAATCCACACAGGCTGTAACCTCCAGTTACAGATCTGTAGACTTTTTCGCCTCAGTTGTTTATTGGCTTTGTGGTGTAATTTGCTGCCTATGCCTTACATCCTAATTACTGTCTGTCTTAAAAGATTACCAACCATAGCCAGGCCCATTGAATCTTTTCCACATCATGGTAGTGCCCCTTTTCCTGCTAGGATAAAGTGAAATCATCTTAAATCAAACTGTAATTAAATATGTTCACGGTTATATAAAGGAGTTATGTTCTTTAATGTGGTGTCTCAAACACTTGGGGATTAAGTCTTTCCTCTTTAGAAGAACAATGTGTTCTCTCTTTTGGAGAAAAAAAAAAAAAGGCAAAAACCATACAAATTTCCTCTTCCACTCATCATAGAACATTAAATGCGTGAAAGCATTCACTGAGTTGATAAAAATACACCTGTAGACTTTAGTGGTCACTGGATCAGGCCCAAAGCCAGTTGTGTTAGTAAGTTGCTTTGTATTCAAGCTAACAGACTTGAAGAACTTCAAAGGGACTTTGAACTCTTTAATTCAGTACAGCAAGCTGCTTAGCTTTTGCAAGTTTTACCACTACTTGAGGAAAAAATGACCAAGTCCTCCAAGTTTACAGCACCTCTCATTTCAGTAGTTGAGCTTGTGGTTAGACAGATGTATGGTTTATTTCCTCTGTACGCATGTCTCTTGCACCTTACAAAAGGTATGCAGCTAATGTAATGCCACCGTGATAGTTGTTGTGCAAAAGTGCCATGGACTATTCATTTTTTCCTCTACATTAATACGTGGAGTATTTAGAGTCCTGTGTTTTTTCAGATCCTCCTAACTGATGTTTTAAAACTTTGCTGCTCAGTGCCAAACTCACTGCAAACACAAGTCCTGTTTCATATCCTGAATCTGAGCAGCTGAACTGCAAAGACAGAGGTGGTTGAGGATGGTTTTTACACGCAGAAATAAGTCTGTCCTCCCCTTTGCATGTCTATAAGAGTTGATAGGATTTTACTCAACTTGATAAAAATTAAATCTTTGTCAGATAGCAAGTACACAGAATATTTCAGCCTGAAGACAGTTAATGAGCATGAAAGATGGGAATTCTTTTGCTATCTTAAGTGTAGCAATGTGACTATACAGCAACCCCTGCAAAAGAGTATCTTGTCGCAATGTGTGTCAGTTACTTGAGGATACAAGCCTGCAAATACCTCTGCCCATGTGTTACTCATGTGAGTAGTTCTGCTGAAATGCCATGTGGTGCTGTGGAGACAAGGCTGAGTGGTATCTGTATGATTTTACATGACACTTCCCTTATAGAGCTGTGACACTTCAGCGTTCCCTGCGCACCTCTTCTCACCACTGCCATATCTCCCTCCCGTTTCACAGATCTGCTTTTACTATGCACGTGGAAGCTGGGCATTCGGCAGTTCCTGAGGAAGGACCCAAAGACCTTCGCTGTCCTCTTTGCCTATATCACACCAAATACAAACGCAACATGATTGACCACATAGTTCTGCACAGAGGTAACAATATCACTGTATTTTTCTGTATCTGATGCAAGGAAAGCTGAACACCACCATCTTTTTTTCAGAGTGGTTCCAATAAGTTTTCTGTTCCCTCTTTGTAAGCACAGGTATGTTGAATAGGTCACCAGCGCTTGAATATCCTTTATTTTGTTTCTAAATGATGCATCTAACTTCTTTACTATAAAATACAAAATCAACCAGTGATGAAACAAGGCAGATATAAAATTGTTTTTAAGCTTTTCCTCTAAAGAGGTTAACAGTCATTGAGCACCTGTTTAGCAAGAGTTACACTAATTTACAACAGTGACCTAGACCAGGGCTGTTTCCTGCATATTTCTTTGCTGTGATAAAGTCCTTGCTATTGTAAACACTGTGGCAGGGTGTATCAGCTAATCTTAGAAGCTCCAAAATAGCCCTTGATAACTTGCTTGAAATTTTTTCTTCATAATCTGTCTTACTGTTCTTAAAATCAAAATGAGAATTATCGTGTTTTTGTTTTTCTTTAAGACTCCTTTTCTATCTCCGTTTCTCCCTTCTTTTTTTAACCTAGCTAAGAGTGAGACTAGGGATTTTTATATTCTATTAGCTGCAGGCTTGCAAGCACGGAAGAGACAGCTGTTTGGGCTCACTGGGCTGGGATTCCTGCCCATAGCTATCACGCTCGATGCTTGTAGATGGTCTGTTGACTGCTGAAATCCAAACCCATGTGTTGGGATGGCACTTTGCCTGCTTGCAGGTTGGGCAGAGTTTCGCAGCAGGGTATTGATGGTGAGCAAACACAAGTTTTGCATGCCATCTTTTTCCTGGAGGAGCTCCTGGTGTGACAAGCGTTATCATAATTTCTTATAACGTACCACTTTTCAGTGTTGGTCGCTTAAAGTCCTTCTTGTACCAAAGCAGTGAGGTAGGCAGAGTTCATACAAGTTTCTGTCTGCTGGAAGAACTGTTCTGAAGAAACATCTGGGGGAGAAAATGACCTGTCAGTGATTCAGAAAGCACATAGCAAAGCTGCCTTATTTGGTTGTAGGTGTCTGTCAGATGCTTTTACTTTGGTGAGGGCTTGTCTTTGAAGGTGTCACAGTGTTGAGTTTTGCCCAGCTTCAGTGCGTGCTCCAGAATTAACTCACTTGGGAAGACAGAAGGGTTTGGTTAGCTCTTGTTCAGGGGACCCTGTGGTTTCAGTTGCTGATGGGGTGTGCTCTGGTTTGTGGCTATGCCTGAGTTCCAGTGGAGACAGCCAGACGTGTAAAATGTAGTTAGACAGACCAAGGCAGGCAGAACTTGCTGGGTTTAGTTGGGAAAATTCCCAGCCAAGGTTGACTTTTACTGGGAAAGTCCAGTTACCGTAGTGGCAGAGCACTTTGTGAGCTCAAGCAGCTGTGCTGGCTTTACAAAGCTGTTTCTAACCAATTGCAAGGAGGTAGTTACCTCTTGGGTAGTGGCACTGTGGATCTGTTCTTCTCTATAGCTGTTGCTTCAGTTGCACAAAGCAACTTAAGCCCTTGTGCTGTTTAAAAAAAAAAAAAAAAAACACCTGATAACAAGGGATGTGATTACTAGAGTGCTGGGGGAAGTAAAACAGAGTAAAGAAAGTTTAATTGTGTAGCAGCTAAGGAGACAATTTTGGCACAGTCTAATGTGTGCTGAAAGAAAGACTGAAGGATGCTGAGCATAGTCTGAGGTAGCCTTCCTTGTTTATAGTCATTGCATTGATAAAACAAGGACATAGTCCCAAGCTGTGATCCAAGAATGTCCATTTTACAGGTAGATGAAGTGGTGCAGTGTGTAAAATCAAGAGTGAAGAATTTGACCCATTTTTTGGCTAACTTTCCTTTTGTGCAAAAAAACAGTTATAGATGCGAAACAGTAGCATCTTGAGTCCTTGATTAGGCAGCCTGTGGTTGGAATGAAGAGTGTATTTGCCAGTTAGTAGCTGCAGAAGTTGACTCTTAACTGGGCTAAAGCATTATAGGCTAAAAGGCTGAATGGCTTATGAGGAAAAAAATTAGGCAAGGAATATGCTTCCCAGTAAGGGTGAAGGGCAGCAGGATGCCTCCAAGAGCTTTCTAGCATGTTTCACTTACTCTACTCAATCAGTTCCTCATCAGTGTAAGAGCTGCTCCTTCTAGGCACACGGAGGGAGCACAGACTCGCTGCCTTCTGGTAGGCTAGAGCACGGGTTTGATGCATTCACAGAGGTTGCTGTGCAGGCAGGTGAGGAGAGGAGGTTTGGCTTTCAGGTTCCTCCTGGCCTTCAGAGCAGGCATGCCTGAGTTGCTCTTGGACCATCCACAAAGGACACAATAAACGCCTGCTCCTTGCCCAGTAGAGATCATGGCCTTTCATTTAGTCTGGAAAACACAATTAGGTTTTATTATCCATTCCAGTAGCTTTTCCCATCCCACGTTTTGAAGTTGATATTTTTCTAGTGCTGAATGCAACTTGCTAACATCAATATTTGGTCTGCTTCTTTAAAATCCTTGGGATGGGTTTGTTTTGTTTTTGTTTTGTTTTTTCTTTTAACTCTTTACTCTTCTGTTATCTTATTGGTGCAAATAACAATTCTGTTCTTCCATTTAATAGAAGTAGCATCCATTTCTCTGGACTAGTATATTTCATGTAGAAGGGTCAAGTTTTCTCCTTAATCTGCCTCCTGAAAGGTTTCATTGTCACATATCCTGATTCCTTGCATGCAGATGTTTCTGGCATTATCCCTTGCACACACAGCTTGATTTGATACATGGGGAACCACTATACTCTGCTTGCTTGTGGCTACAGGAACACAAACACTCCAGTTCTATGACTGTAGCTTGGATGTACATTAATTACAGGCAAGAATGCATATGTACAAACAACCCACGTAACTGAATAATTGATCTGTGCCTAGATAAGCAGGATTATTTTGTTTGTTCTTGGTTTGCACTTAAAGGAAGGAAATTACTTGTGTATGCTATGGTGTGTTGCTGAGTAAAGATTTTTCCTTATAATTAAAGATTGATAGAGTCAGGGGCTTTTGTGTGCCTCAAGCTAAATATATGTGTCTGCTTTGAGTTACTGTACTGCAAATATCTAGTGTATTAGTAGCCTTTCCATTTAATCTATGATCTTTATTAGAAATAGCCTGAATATTTCAGTCTAAACTAAGGACTGGATTTCTTGAACAGAGAGATGATACTTTTTAGATGGGCTTTGTTTGTTTGCTTGTTTTGTCTTACACCTCTTGTTACACTGATCCACAGTAAAAGACATCCTTTATGAGGCACATACAGTAGTCTTTTGTTTAGACAGTGCAGAACTTTGAAGTCTGCACATGGGGAAGGAAGCTAAAGCTTCCAGTTTGCACAGAGGACTTAGAGTTTACTGAAATTTTGTCAGTTGCCCGGATATGGTAAGTGTGTTCTAAATGAGTAGCTAAATATAGAGAGCTCTGTCGGTGCGGGTGGTGACTGCTAGAATGGCCAGAGATTAGAGCATCACCTTACAAAATGCGAGGTTCTGGATCCAAATCACCCTGCAAGTTCCAAAATTCGTTGCTTGAAGGAAGCTCGTGGAGATCAATACATGCATGTAAAGGCTTTAAATCATTATCTCATGAAAGTGAAATCCTTCAGGGTACAATTCCTGTTTATGTTTATCTTGCTTTTTTCATGTTATTGTGCTGCCTTTGATTTGGGGTGTGTGTGTGTGATTGTCTGTGAGATAATAGGTTTTGCTGACGTGAATTAGGAAATGCTGCTTTATTCCAGAGTGGCAGATGAAACCTTTTATACTGTCCCGTGTTTTTTGTTTTTTTTCCCCTCAAATCTGTGCCATGTGCTAGAGAAAAAAAAGAGTTTTTAAGTGTTTTAATTAGTCAGCGCTTCTCTTTTTGAAAACTTCACTTAGCTTTTTTCACATTTTAAAAAGAAGTTGCCTTACTTTGGTGATTCCACAGGCACACAGTTGTAAAAAGCTTATAAAAAAAGTCATCTGCTGACCCTAGAATCGCAGCTTTAAATTCTGTTATCTCTTAGACCCTATTTCTCCAGATAGGATAACTTATGTTCATGGAGAAGCTGAAGAGGATGGAATATTTAGATGAGCTGTGGAAAAATCTCCTGAGCAGTGGCAGGGCATGGATTGGTCAAAGGTGAAAGAACAGTTACAGCTTTCGCCACCTTACAGAAGCCATAAGGGAGTTTGAATTTCTATAACTGTCTTTCGCTGTGATGTTACTCTCTTCATCGAAGAAGGGGACACACTGGCTCAGATCCATACCTTGCGTGGACTGCCGTATCTCAGAGTCCCTTACCTTTCATGTCTGCAATCTGACATTCAGGCCTGCTTTTTTGTTCATTTGTTTTAATATGTCGTTAGTGATGACCTGCATGAGGAAGATCAAACTCCTCCTTTAATCTAGGGTCCATAGGGAGAATGGCACTAAATTTCAATGTTCCAGTTCAAAAGACCAGTTGAGTGGCAAAAGCCCATAATGAGGGCCTTCTGGTGACCCTTGGCTGAAAGGTCAAATTTGGGATTTCCCTTATGCGCGCAGCTTGGAGAACCACAGTGGACGAGTGTTAAACACATCGGGATTCTGGTTCTGTTGGAAGACCGAAATTAATTGCCATTCTGTTAAATGTCTTTGTTCTCCACAAGAAGTGGAGAGCTTAAACTCAGGGAATATTTTGGTACATGGCCGTAGCCATAATCTGAACTGCAGGAAGCGTGGCATGACATGTATGTAGATTTTGAGCTGGAGCTGTTCAAATAGAGGGTGGGTTGGGAGTATCTGTCCCTGGCTGAACTGCACAACCACTTCCAAGAGAAGGTGCTGCCCCACACACCCTCTCTGTGCCCAGCAAGTAGCTTCTAATGCAGTGGTGAGGATACCAGCTCTGATTTTTAGAAAGCTGGGAGAGTGATGCCTTGGAAATCACCTTACAGGTTCCCAGTTTATTAGATTTCTAGCAGCCGGTACTGGTTGCTGTCAGGTATTGAACCAGAATGGACTGCTGATCTGGTCAATTTAGGGCTGTTTTTGTGCTCATAGTCTCTGCTACTCTGACTCACAGATGGAGTCTCATTTGCCCCAGAACCTCCATTCTGGTCCTCTTCATCCAGCGAGCGGTTGCATTTGTGAGGACACCCGCACTGGTAGCGGTGGAGGATTAACCCTGTCTTTGCAGGAAGAGTAGTTGTTTGTTGTTTCGGTCCAGTTTAGCTCCTCAATACAAGGATTGCGTAATCATGCTGCAGATCTTGTTCCTTGTGTGGGTGCTAGTTTCCAAGCTGTTGACACGTTACCTGATATTTTGTGAAATGTGTTAAACAAATGTTGTCCTCTCCCCACAGAAGAGCGGGTCGTTCCCATTGAAGTCTGTCGTTCCAAACTGTCCAAGTACTTGCAGGGAGTTGTTTTCCGCTGTGATAAGTGTACCTTTACCTGCTCCAGTGATGAGAGCTTGCAGCAGCACATAGAGAAGCACAATGAACTGAAACCTTACAAATGCCAGCTCTGCTACTATGAGACCAAACACACAGAGGAGCTGGATGCTCACCTTCGAGATGAGCACAAGGTAACATCCTAACAGGTTTAATTTGTAACAATTTATTCCTTGCAAATGCCATATTTAGTTTATGTGCCTGCCGATTCTGATTAGCCAACCTGCCTTTTTTTTTTTTTTTCCCCTCCCACAAAACTTGGAAACTGCTCACTCCCATGCTGGACTTCACTTTCTGTAAAGCATGTATTCTTTTTTAAAAAAAAAAATCAAGATTGAGGGCTTCTAAAGCTCTTCAGATTGACCAGAATTGGCTGATTGTTGAGTGATGCAGAATATGATTATCTGGAAAAGGCACTTATGTGTGCTAAGTTTATTTAAAGAAAAGCGGGGAAAAAAAAAAAAAGGAGTTGTGAAACAATATTAAGGCTGTGTGATTCAGCCTCTCTAAAAGCCAGGAGATTCCAAACTTAAGATTGCTCTGGCAACTTCAGCAACGTGACATGCCATGCATATTTTAATAACAAAGAGGGCAATACATCCCTGTTTACATTTAACGAGGGAAAGATAAACAGCAAGTATAACCAGGTCCTAAGTTAAGGCTGCTTTGGTGTTTGCCTGGAGTCCATGAGTACAAACCTGATCCAGTCTTGGAGAAGTCATTAAGAAGGCTTTCCGCAGACTTCTGTTAACTCTGAATTTTTGTAGTTGTGCTGCTGTGAGAGAAACTTAAGTTCTGGACGGAAATATGTTTTTGGAGTATTTATCAGAATACTTTCTTGTTGCAGTTCCTGGAGAGGCAGCTTATTTGACTTCACATATCGGAGCTGAGCTGCCCCAGTCCTCACTAAAATCTCACTCACGCTTTGACTGAGTGACAATTTTCCTACAGCCAAATGCATATTGACAAAATTAGCATCAAAAGTCCCAGCAAAACTTTTCACACTTAAAAAATATTTGACTATCTGTAAAAACAAGCTTACACTGGCCTCTTAGCTTATCTGCCCTCTTTATTACTCCTTGAGAGTCTTTCTACACTTCACATAGTACTTGAGATGTTCCACATCTTCCAGTCACCACAGCAAGGGCCCTGGGGTATCAAAGATGCCCTGTTTCTCATTCTTTTGACTTAGTGCATAAGGCTGGGAAGATTTTTTTTCCTTACCTGCCTCTCCCTTCCAGTTCTGACCTGCAGTGATGATGCCAATAGTTGAAGGTATCTGTTCCTCATCTCTCTTTAGTAATTTTTAAATGATATTGCTCTAATTTTTGGCCAGGCCCTTGTCTTAGGCACACAATTGATATACGGCGCCCTAGTGAGCTCCTGTGCATGAGCTGAGTTGCATTAAATGCCTTGCGCATGGTCATATTTGCTTAAATCCCAATAGGTAACTTTTTATGTCGGAGAACCTCATCACAGCTGTCTGTACAGAGTAGTTCAAGGAACTGGATACCTGCACATCGTTGCATTTAGGGTAGTACACAGTATGGAGGTGTACTACTGGCTAAATCACACTTTCCTTAGCTTTGTTTCACATTCCCTTTCCTGCAGAGGGATAAAACATAATCGGTGGGGCTGGTGTGTCATTCAGTATCTTGCAAGAGTTGTTGTACCGCACTCATTCCTTCCTTTCCATCCTCTGTCTCTGTGGCTCAGTGTCTGTGCTGCTGGAGGGCTGACTTTTTTGCATGATGAAAAATAAATCCAAAATCCTGCCCAGCAGTGATTAATGAGCTTAGAGGGTGCTTGTCATCCAGCAAGTATTAGCCTTAGTGTCCTGGTCGTGCTCCACACTCTCCACCTCTACTGTAAATCTAGGCTGCTCCTCTACTGTTTCTGCTGCATATAGTGGTGTTCCTGACTTACCCATCGTAAGCTGCTGTTTTCATACTGTTGCTGTGAGCTATTAAGAAGCTGGTGCATTTCACCCAAGGGTTAGCTGAATTTGACTGCTGGGTGAAGCGTTCCCATTGCAGTCTGTATATCAGTTTGCAAAGCACTTTGCAGCCCTTCATAATGAAAATTAATCTGTTATTAATGAGTGAAAGTTTGTGGCACACAGCAGCCATGTGCTTAATAAAGGACCTATCCTTTCATGTATGAAGCTGAGTTGAACCAGGCACAAAGGATTTTCCTTAAGTGGTGGTGTGCAATAGCAATGTTTAATCACAGTGGTTCAACACTCCCATGAGGGAAGGGTACAATGTAAGGTGTGTAATGTTTCTTGGTTTTCTTAGTTTTAATACCTCAAAAAGGAGAAGAAATCAGGGGGATTTTTCGAATGGCATTCAGTTTTGAAAACCAAATTGATAAATTCAGTATAAAAAGAGAAAGAAGAATCATTGTCATTGAAGAGAAATAAGTATTAATTTGACTGGGTGCCTACATGTCACCTGTAGCTATAGAAGGAGGTTTGGGGGCATATTGAATTTCATTTTGCATACGAGCTAGTTTTTGAGTAGTTGATCATGGTGCTAATTGCTGACAAAAGTGTTCCTTTCGAAGGTGAGTCGTAATTTTGAGCTGGTTGGACGGGTTAACTTGGATCAGTTGGAACAAATGAAGGGGAAAACAGAAAGCTCCAGCAGTGATGAGGAAGAAAAAGAAGAAGAGTTAATCCCCAAGACTGAAGAGAGAGGTTAGTCCTTTTTTTTTTTAAATGGACTGCAACATACCCTACCAGTCCCACCAAGCAAGGTCAGCTGTTGACTCTGCAGCACATTCCTATAGAGTCATGCAGCATGCCAGCAAGAGCAGAATGAGGCTTTTGTCAAGACACTGTTCCTGGGGGAATCTCGTGTTTCTAATCCTTACTACAAGTTTTCTGTCTGTTAAGAAAATACATACTATGAGAAAATGCAGATAGCATCTGTGACTTATGTGTCGATGCTGATAACATCTATCAGGGCTTGGAAAACTACGTAAGTAGAGTATTTCAGTGGTCTATATTGGTAACCCATTTTCAGCTTCTTACTTGGCATTATTCAAGCAAGGATGAAGGGTCGTGGCCAAACTTATTTTTGGACTGTTACTGTTAACTATATGCTCAGCATTCCTTCCTTCTCAGTGAGAGTCAGTCCTGTTGCAGTGCCTATAACTGGCAGCTTTGGAACCAGGGTAGGTCCTTGCCCCACCTTTAGATCACTGCTCAGTTGTGTACTTAAGTACGTTCATAAGTTTATGTGTATGACTAATACCCCTGACTTCAGCAAGGCTTGAAGGCCACAAGCTTGCTTAATGCTTATGGTTCAGTCAAAGTTAGCTGAGTAGGGGGAAAAAAATTCTCTAAATCAGACCAAGGGTTTGCCCTGTGCCTCCTACCCCTCTCAAGCCCCCGTCTCAGTATTAAAAACAATCTATTGCAAGCATCTGGTCTCAATTGTGTATTGTTACAGTCTACTCTGGTGCATCAGTCCGGTGCAGTATGTTCACAACTCTTGAGCCTTGTGATGCCAGATTGTCAGATTGGAGGGGTCATCCACCCTCCTGGTGCTGACAGCTGCAGTTCGCTAAGTTTCTATGTACTTAACCAAAGGCATGCCGTCATGTTTACCTTTTTCCTCCTGAAGTTTCAATGAGTCTTCAATGGAAGACTCATTTCAAACTCGCTCAAGAATTGTTCACAAAACAAAATGAGTCTCCCTCAAGCGTTTCAGACTGGAAAATTTAGATCTCTAGATTCAGAGGTAGCTTGCAGAACAGAAGGGGCTTAGATGATGCCTCTTTCCTTCTTACTAGCAGAACCCAGTATCTTGGCTTTTGTTTAGTGTCCCCATAGCATAAATTCTGCCTATGCTTGTCACTATCACTTCACTTCAAGTGCAATTGGTGACAGCTTTTGAGAAATAAAATAATGAGAAATAAAGTGAGCTGGATGAGAAGCCGTTTCTGTTTTAATGAAAAATATCCTTCATGAGATCTTAGTTAGCAGCATTGCAAAAATCGGAGAAGGCGCTAAAGGGAAATTGGTTTCATACGCATTTCAAAGCTTAGTGTTATTACCTCCCCACTCTGTTGCACAACCTCTCACTCAGGTCTGTTCAGGAAGAGATTTGTCCCTCAGGGCTTCAGGGCTGGAAGAATGACTCTGTAATGCCTTCACTGAAGGACCAGCTCCCCTTAGTTGCAGCTGTAGCAGGCTGATTAATATTTGTGTAGACTCACAGCTTGCAAGGGGTGAAGAGTTGTCCTGTCCTTGTGAGGATTACCTTAGTGGTAGATGCAAGCGCAGGTGCTGAAATTGCTCTGGAAAATGTGGCATCCAGAAGAAGAGGAAGAAGGTGCTGTCAGCCGAGCTTTTCAGATCCCTATAAATGTGCTGTGGGGACAGGAGGGAACCTAAGGTGAAGTTTGACATTTAAGTTGGGTTTAAGATGCTTAGTTTCTTGACCTTAAGTGTGAAAATGTAAAAATATCTCTTCAAATTTAAATCTTCAACCTAGAAGGTGATAACAGATAGAAGAGATGGTGTTTTAGCAATTTTGTTTCTACTGAGTGTTCTTTTAACTTGTATTTGTGTTTTTCTTACTTGTGACTAGTTAAAAAGTGATCTGTGTTTGATTTGTTCAAATGATTCACGTAAAAAATAATGCATATTTCCCTGCTTGTTTTGCAGTTGTTTTCCTGGCTGCCCCTTGTGGGTGACTTTGTCTGACCGTTATTAGTTTTTCTCTTTTTAACCTAAAAATCAGTTGTAAAATTCTATACTAGAATAGGTAGAAAATACAGAGAGTATTTATGCCTTCTACGAAAGAGTATGTTTAGAAAAAAATTCAAGTTGTATTGACTTAATTTTTCTTGCCAAGTTGTGGATTACCATGTGAGGTGCAAGATGCAAAGTAAATTTTCGGAAAAATGTCCCAGTGAGGCAGGAGCTGAATGCATGGCTGGATGCAAAGTAATGTACTGACATCATCTTCCCCCAGTGGATGTTCAAAAGCCACTTCTAATGCAGAAACAGTTCACCCTGTTAGTAGAGGACCACACCCATGCTGTTAAATATGGCCGGTCACAGTGGCTAATGCTGTCACAGCTTTCAAACCTCATTAAACTATATATAATCTCTGATACCACTTGGGTGCTTTTGACAAATTTAGCCTTTGTAGTGTTAGCAGGAAGTAGGATTTGCTGAGAGTGCCTCTGTGCGCTCTGCGTATCTGGAAGCAAACACTGGCTGAGCCCTCTGAAGTCTGTGACTTTGGCAGAGCCAGGTTTTCTTCCCATGAGTCTAACTGCTAGATTCACCACTTTGACTTCAGGATGGTGTTCACAGTCCTGAAGGCCCAAAAGTGGGTTGCTTCTCCCAAGGGGCTGTCGGGGCACTGTACCAAAGGCGGGTTATTCGTCATCTGGGCAGGCAGAGCTGAGCATGTCCTCTCAGCATAGCTGAGCTGATGTGTTGGGTGGGAAGGCAGAGAAGTCGTCAGATGGCAGAAGTCTGGCATGCTCCATGAAAAGAGCAGCTGCTCTTGCTAAGGAATGCATCCCAGAGAGGCTGTGTGTGCTGACCTTTATCTTGTTCTTAGCAGAAACCTGTATTGAGAGGTATTTTTCCACAGTAGACAAAAATAAGTGATTGTGTGTGAGATGCAGAAAAGCCAAAGAGAGATCGGGTGCCTCTGCAGACCACAGAGAAGAGCAGGTCCTGATAGACTCTTCCAGGGGAGCAGTCCAAATTCACGCACCTAGAAATAAAACTAGTCAGGAAGTAGGATGAAGAATATAGTGGATTCTGAAGCGCTAATGGATTTACTAGGGTAGCACGTGTTAATGGGGATTGCAATTATAAAGCCACCCTATTCATCTGAGCAAAGCAGCCTATTGTGCACATCTCTTCTCTGCAGAGGCCCAGAATAAATTTCCTATTGTGTAGTATATGGTAGGTATGTTCCTACACAGAAGAGCAACTGTTGTCTCCAGAACTTTTACCCTCTGTAGGTGTTTGTCCCTGAACCATGACTAGACTAAGTATTGCAATGGTATTTTTGAATTTGTACTATGCATATGGTGTTAAAATCCGGATGTAAACTGAAGTAGGGGCATTGGCTTACTTTCTGCTGTTCCTATTGGCACAGCACCTTGCTTTATGATGTTGAACTGCATAATAAATCACTGACACTAAGAAATAAGAAGTGAGATTTTTTTCTTCCAGAGGAAAGAGATAAAAAATGGTATAAAGCATCCTGAACTTTATTAAAGGCTAACCAGTGACAAATGTGTTGCAAAAATACCTTTATAAAACTTACATAGGGATAATAGCAAGTGTGTGGGCAGTTTTAAGGTCATAGGCTGATCATGAACAGAGTAAATTTGAGAGTGAAGAAACCAAGTGAGCAGAGATCAGAACTGAAATGAAGCAAAATCCCTTTTCTTTTATTATGTAGTTTGGGAGGAGCTGGAAAGACATTCTGTTGATTTCTTGCTTAAGATAATCCCTGCTAAGGAATTAATGCTCTGAGCAGATGGTGCTGTCTCATTTCCAGCAAAAAGAATCAAGTGAGATAGTCCATGCAATTATTTTTAATGGCTTGTGTGGTTATCTTCTTAATTTGTGAGAAAATGTTTCATCTTTTGTTAAAGCTGGCTCTGTTCACATGGGGCTTAGCTTTCAGAAATACTGCTCCCTCAGCTGCCAGCGACTTCACTTGTATTGCTAGGTGCTTGACACTTCTGCAAATGAGGCCCCAAGCATTTTGTATAAAAGATTAGGATGGGTTGAAACACCTATACAGTTAAGATACAGGACTTTTAGAGATATTCTCCGGTTCCTGAGAATTCATGATGAAGGGATGTCTTATTTCTTATGAGGATCAGATGTCCAATATACTAAGTCTCTGCTTCCTAAAATTTGTACTACAAATTCAAAAATTATGCACAGGCTCAAGTGGGATTTTGGGGTTTGCTTTGAAGCTGTTTTGACACTAAACTTCCCTCAGTGTTGGTTTTGAATTAAAACTCCCCACTCTCTTCATTTGTTCAAGTACAAGGACAGGGAGCAGTAACTCTGTTAATGCTTTTTTTTGTAGAAATATTTTAAGAGTTAGGATGGGACTTCTGACCTGCAGTATCACTGGGCTTTGTGGAGAGGGGTGTGCCTTTTCACTAATGCCTACAGTATTTGGTGAAGGTCTCCTTTTGTTTCTTAGGTTTTTTGGTTTTTTTCCTCTTTGGGGGGCAGAAGAGGGGATCGGAGTAGGATCACAGTGCTCCCTTTCTGCCCTGGCACTTGTGCACTTACATGCTGTGTCCTTTCGCAGATCCCATGATGTTTCCTGACAGCGGCGCCCTGGAGAAGCGCTTCCCGTGCGAGTTCTGCGGCCGGTCGTTCACAGAGGGCTCTGAGTGGGAGCGACACGTGCTGAGACACGGCATGTAAGTTGGTTTAGACTCTTGCTGAACGGTGAAAAGTAACAGTTAATCTTTATGCATTCCCTCACCTGTTCCTCTCCTCCCAAAGAAAGCCCTGTGATGAAAGCAAACGCAGGTACACAACAGATGTTCCTGTAACGAGGGAAGAATTCTGCCTATCACAAGCAGGGATACAACTACCAGATGTCTTTGCGCAAAGAGAGGTTCTTGTCCGTTCCGTTTAACCCAGCAGCCCAGGGTGACTATAGAGTTCAGACTTGCAGGTGATTCTCTCCGTATGTCCACGTACCTTTCCAGTTTCAGTTCAGAATCAGATCTCAAATGGAAAAAAACTTTTTTTCAATGGACAGACAAGGCTTAACTATGATCCTAAAACTCAAGCGTTGTCTCAAGATGAATTCTACTTTAGCCCGCAGTTAACTTTACTTGAGTCTACTGTTGATTCTGCTTGCTAGTGGAGCAGCATGAAAAATGACAGAAAACTATAAGGAACAGTCCAAGAAGGAGTTATGGTTTTTTTTTTTTTTTTTCCTTTATTGTTATTACTTCTTAGCATGCTTGCAGCTAAATTTGCGGAACAGTGTAAAGAATTATGTGTAGAGAAATGTTAAGACCTGCAAGGGAAGTAAAATCGATCAGAATGATCTCTCCCTGAAATGTTCACAGTGAAGTTAATAGCAAAGATCTTTGCCTTTCTTGCACATAAATAACAGTCAGCCCACAGTGGGATGACACAGATAGGCATCTCTGGAACATTCATTTTCTTTCTCTTGATGAAGATCTGGTCAGTAGCAGAGATGTCTTTGCTGACCATAATTTCTTCAAAGAGTAGATCTCATTCAAGATTACTGACATGTGGAAGACATTTGAATACAATATTGCAACTTGACTGTGGAAGGGTGAGAAATACTGCTTCTCTTACTCTTTATCTTGTCCCTGCTTAAATAAGAGTACTTGAAAAGTTGCATGCTGTAAAAAGCTTTATTGGATCATTAAGTCTTTTGGGAAAAGTACTCTCTTTTCCTGTGCTTTTATTTGTTACCTAATGAATTTTGTTCCCAAAGGAATGGGGAAAAGGGGATTGGGGTTCTTCTCTCTCTCCCCTTACTGCCCCAGCATAGAGTGAATAAAGATTTGGTTTCAAAGCTAGAATGTAACAGGTCCCACTAGCAGCTTCATTCCACTGCCTGTCCTCTTGAGCGTGAGGTGGCAGCAATGTGGCTGTTTGCTTTTTCAGGAAGTGAGCTGTTTCCCCCTGCCCCATGTAACACATATGGATTGGCTTTATTGTTCTCTCTATGGACTATAATGATTTCTTTTTTCTGCTGCTTTTCTTCCCAGGGCGCTGAACGAATGCAAGCGCAGGAGCAGCGAGGACAGCCAGCTGAAGGAGGACGCGGAGGAGACTGTTAGCACACTGCCAGTGGAAGAAAAGGAAGGCATTGAGAAAATGCTAGTAGGAAGAAACAAAGCTGCTTTTAGGACTGAATGATCTATTTTCAAAGCACTGGTACCTGTGTGAGTGTGTGTATATTAAAGTTATTTAAATGATGGAATAAGTGGCTCCATTACATCACTGCATCTTTTCTTCTGGATCTTGACAATGGGAAGTTACGTTCGTCTTGGACTAATGAAGCAACTCCCCATGTTCCTACATTACACAACGTGCTTTGCAGTGGAGACTTGGATTGTTTGTGAATGGAAGCGTCGTGAGCATGGAAGAAGGGGTGGGGGGGGGACAACTTTTCAACGCACCAATTTGGGTGCGTTTTTCTAGTTTTAATACATAACGCTTTTCCAGACTGAATGCAACTGCTTTAGAAAAGAAAAGAAAAAAACAAAAACAAAACAGAAACTGCTTTGCTTAAAACAGTCACCTGTTTCCTAGTACCTCAGAATTAACCAAGGGAGATCTCTGCATTTGTCAGTACTACCTGTTGTCGTTGTGGTTAAATGTAGAGAGACTGCTGGGCAAGGTGGTGAAAGGAGGAAGAAAAAAAGTTTTAAAGGAAAACAAATTTTGCTTAAAATCCCAGTGTGGGTTTTATTTCTTAAAATACTGTGATTTTTTTAATTATTTTAGTAAAAAAAAAACAAAAAAAAAAGAGAGAGACTTTAATTTTTAGATAACTGTTTGTGAATTGTCATCCTTTATTCCAGGTAAGCTGTTTGTTAGTGTTCAGCTATAATTTTAGGATTTGATAGATTTCATGTGACTGATTGTGCAGTTTTGTTTGCCACATGTTTATTTTCTATCAACCTGAGGTGTTACAAATACAGCACAATTAAGTTTCTCATGTAAAACGAATCTTTCTTTTCGGGGGGGGGACAGGGAAAGGAGACTAGATCTTGTGAATAGATTATTTCGTTGTTGTTGTTAATTTTAAACATACGGAAATAACAAAGAAGTTTTAACTTTTTTTTTTT